TGCATCTAAATTGTGTTAAAAAAAATTAAGTTGCATTTGCACGAGAAAGACTAATGGAAAGGAAGGAAGGAAAAGGAAGGTGCCTCTCGCTCGTAATTTTCGGGATGGGATCATGTTCCAGCATTTCAATTTGGCGACCTTGTCTGCAAACATGCGTGGATATTCTGGGCCACGAGGCTAGCTCGTAACAAGAGTGTATTTTGTGATATCAAATATTCCTGCATCGGCTGTGGCTAGCTATACAATGCTCTGAGCTAGTTCAGCTTCTTCTTCTTCTTCTTTTGGCGGGGACCTAGTTCAGCTTTGGCAGAGATGGTTAAGGCATCTCCAACCGCGTAATTTAAAATGGACACACCAAACGTTCATGGGCATGTCCGGACGTTTGTTTAATTTTAATGGTTAATTGGTTTCTTCTAACTTAGAGCGGGAAATATTTGTAGTGAACTATTTTTCTACGCTGAAGGAATATTTTGGTTCCTATAGAAAATGTTTTGCCGTGAGCAACGAGTTGCATATTTATAGGATTTTTCCATGTTTGTTTTCAGGAAAGTAAAAATTTCATCACTTTAGCTATATGTAAGTCGCCAGGATTTTAAATTTGGGTAAGTCAATTTTCTGACCATTGTTTTTATTTTGTTACTATTCGTGTCATTTTTCTTTTCTTGTGTTGTTTAGGCTGAGTTGAGTTGCCCCTGTTTGGGGTAAGTCAATTCTTTCTTATGCTTAATTTTTGACTTTCCCCTGTTTGGGGTAAGTCAATTTTTCTTAGACTGAATTTTCGACTTACCCCTGTTTGTGGTAAGTCAATTTTCCTATTGGGCCCGAAGTCCCTTCCACATTGCGTGTTTTTTATGTGTCTTTTGCTTTTGCTTTTTCTAGCCTTTGTTTCTTTTTTCTACATGGATATGTTTTGCATATTGGATGAGTAGAAATGTATACACCTAAGTACTATATAGTATGTGTGTAGATTACACTAGAACGTGAAAAATATACCATTATGTGCTTATCCTTAGCATATCTTAAAAGTACAATTTTCAGTGCAAATTTTTTTAATATTATTTTTCTTCTTATAGGATAGTACCAAATGCCACTATCATTCTTCAATACGTCATTGTTTTAATTTAGTTTTAGTTTTATCCACTTCCTTTCTTCTTTAAGAGCAATACCAATGCCACTAATTCATTCCTTCTTAGGATTGTTTTGAGAAATTCCACTTATATGTTCATTCTTGCATATTATAAAAGAAAGCAACTTATTTTTAAAATATTTGAAAATTTAATCATTTATTTTATTAAAGGGTAATAACAATGCCACTAATTAATTCTTCCTTAGAAAACTTTATTATTTTGATTTTATTTCAGTTTTTTTTTCATTTCGTTATTCTTAAAGGGTAATACAAATGCCACTAATTAATTCTTATTTAGAAAACTTCTTTATTGATCATGTTTTAGTTTATATTTATTTTCTTTCTTCTTTAAAGGTAATATACCAATGTCACTAATTCATTTCTTCTTAGGAAACTTTTTTGGCGGAAAATTCCACTATTATATGCTCATCTTGCATACAATAAAAAGGCACAATTATTGTGTGAATTATGTGCAAGTTTCGACATTCTTTGTTGTAGATTATTTTCCATTTTCTTTCTTCGTAATGCGTAATACAAATGTCACTACTTCATTGTTCCTTAGTAACATCTTGTTTTTCTTTTAGTTTATATTCCATTTAATCTTTTTATTTCATTATTTCCTTCTTGAATGGTAATACAAATGCCACTAACTCCTTATTTCTTAGGAAACTTCTTTATTTTGATTTTCTTCTAGTTTATATTTCATTTTCTTCTTCTTTAAGTGTTATACCAATGCCACTAATTCTAAGTTAAAAAACTACATTATTTCTGTGTAATTTGATTATTGTCTGCTTATTCTTGTGTATTATAAAAAGGCGCAATTTGTATTTGAATTATGTGAAAATTTTGTCCTTATTTATTATTTGCATTTTCTTTCTTCTTACAGGGTAATAGTAGTGGCACTAACTTATTCTTACTTAGAAGACTTCATTATTTTGATTATTTTACTTGTTATTTCATTTATTTTTCTTCTTCAAGGTTAATATCAATGCCGCTAATTCATTCATTCTTAGAAAATATTTTTCCATGAAAATTCCACCACTATATGCTTATTCTTGCATATTATAAACAACACATTTTTTTGCGTAAATTGTGTGTGAATATTGTCAGTATTTGACTATTTGTATTATTTTTCTCCATTTTTAAAGGGTAATACTCAATCCACTAATTCATTCTTTTGTACATAACTTATCTTTTTATTCCTTAGTTTATTTTTGTTTATTTATTATGGTTTTTGCCTTATGTCTTACTAGGTATCATCTCATTTTTGTATATTTCAGACAAAGCTTAAATATCGGATGGGCTTCTGCTTATTGGTTGCATAGGGCCTAGTGCTCCTCTGAAGAGTCGAGGGAGACCAAACATCCTTTTAAAATATGTCTTTATTTACTCATAAAAAAGGTAACCGATACAAATAAAATCATTTTTTATCTCCCATGCACTGATATTTCTGGCTCCGGATTTAATTTAATTTAATTTTTTTCATTTCACATTTATTTAGACAAAATCATTCACCTTTTCTAATTCCAACTTTTTTTCATTTCATCTTACGTAGAAAAGAAAAGAGGGAGTTTTGTATAAGCCTGCCATGTCAGAAATTCGTTCTAGTCAAACTCAAGCAGTACACTCATAAATCGGAAGGCATTTAGCATGACTGAGCAGCTTGCATGCATGCATGCATGGCGTAGTATACCAAATAAAGACTTGCCTGCTCCCTCGTCGTGTGCCCATCCGTACTCCCGTCTACGTGGCTTGATTTGATTGGAACAAAATAAGGCCCGGCCCCACCCCTTAAAATCAGGGGGGAGATGATTAGATTAGAAAGAAAAAAAGGAAAAAAGACAGCCGTAGGATTAAGTGGGAGCATGGATGGGAGCACGGGAAGGAAGCAGGCAAGCCAGATCCTTCTATTTCAGCGCTTGCATGCGGATAGAACGAAAATCAAGGACATCTATATCTATACCAATATAAAAATATAAAAAAAACTTAAAGGAACGAATTCGATTAATCTCGGCCATTAAATCATGTTAATCCGACGACGTAGACTGCTTCAATGTCGAGCGTTCAATACGTTTAGCGTGCAGTTATTTTCATACCAAATATAGTGCTAATCACATAATAACATGCAAATAATGTCCTACTTAATATCCGCATGCACTTAATATACTTCCAAATTAACGTGTATTGCACGCACACATTGACTAGTTAGAAGAAGTGACTAACCCAATATTAGTTTTCGGTCATCTGACACCTAGTCAGTCCCATATTTCATGGCGAATGACGTGTGAGAACTTATCTCAAAAAGGTTGAAAGGTAGCATGCACAAGTAGGCATGTCATACAGTGAAGATGTTCAGTTGCTATTTAGAAAATTTTAGTTTTTGCACATTTATCGGAGACCTAGCCTATTCGTTCAGTTTTATTCGTGGCACAAATTGAACAAATGGGTAACGAAACCCTGCATAAGAATCTTTATTTGAAAAAACTACAACATTGTGTGCACATATCTTAGCTAAGTGGGTAGTACAAGACTATGCATATGGTACTCAAGATCTAATTCCATATAATGATGACTGTAAAGAAAATGAAGGATCTAATAACCACGAGCCACTCTACGATATGTGCTCATTGTGGAGGTGGTGGGGAGCTCAATGGCCGAGTGATGCTCTTCTTCACTGGTGGTGGAAGCGGTGGGGTGCACAATGGACTCACTACCCTCTTCTGCACTTCTGGTGGAGGTGGCGGAAAGTGCATTGGCCATGCCCCACTCTTCTGCACTGGCGGTGGAGGCGGCGGGGTGCGCAACGGACTCACTACCCTCTTCTGCACTTCTGGTGGAGGTGGCGGAAAGTGCATCGGCCATGCCCCACTCTTCTGCACCGGCGGTGGAGGCGGCGGGGTGCGCAGCGGACTCACTACCCTCTTCTGCACTTCTGATGGAGGTGGCGGAAAGTGCATCGGCCATGCCCCACTCTTCTGCACCGGCGGTGGAGGTGGCATTGGCTGCATTGTGCTCTTCTGCGCTGGCGGTAAAGGAGGCGGCAGTGAGCTAAACGGCTGAATTCCGCTCTTCTGTGTTGCTGGTGGATGTGGTGGCCCTGACCCTCGTTTGTGCTGCCCACACGGGTTTGGTATTGGTGCCGGAGGCAGTCTGCCTATCTGTTTCCCTCGTATACCAACTTTTGGCGCTTTCTTTACCTGCTTCCCTAGTGCACTAACCCGCGACAAATGGTTTTGAGGTGGATAGAACAACCAAGACGGCGAGGGCGACGAAGATCTTGAACAGTTTCATAATGGCCTATGAACACTTACTTCTCGGTGGTATCTCGTGAACTCAACTTATAGTCAAATGATGGTTCACTGTTGACTTGACTTGTAACTTGCGTGGAAAAGAGTGAAAACTTGGGTGGTTGACTTGACTTGCACCTGCTCAGAAAATCAGGTGAACACCTAGATTAGAGGCCACACATGGCGCTTGTCTAGCATCCAATGTTGTCCGTTCAAACCAAGAAACAGGATTGATAATCTCAAGGAAGAAAAGACATACTCCCTCCATTCACATATAGGGCCTCATGGGCTCCTCCTGCTCGTAGCAGTGTCAGGCCCAGGTATGGAGGACGAGCCTTTTCTTTTCTCTTGTACATGCATGCCAATGCCATGGTCATCCATGACCATCCATTGCCAAACTGATCACCAACCTCACGAGCAGCCAGGAAGGCTCCGACGAACCTGGAGAACATTTTCTGGCAGGACCACGGCCGCGCAATCATCCGCCGCCGTCGACGTTGACATCATCCACAAGCGCCACCAACGGAGGAAGAGCCGGCCAGCGAGCCGGACGGAGCTAAAGAGGAAGAAGGGTCGATCAAGCGGCCATGGCGAGACCCACGAACTGCGATCTGGTCCTCGAGCTCCAGAACGTGTCCCTGGACACCCTCTTCCTCATCGTCCTCCAGGCCGTCGTCGTCATCGCCCTCGGCAAGTTCATCCACCTCTCCCTCCGCCGCCACAACCAGCCCAGCGCCATCTCTCAGATCCTTGTACGTGCATGCGCCATCTCTTCGGCCGGTCAATCAATCGCCTCCTCTCAATTCGCTAACATCCATGGACATGGGTGCATGCATGCATGCAGGCGGGGATCATGGTGGGGAGCCTGGGGCTGCACGAGGTGATCGTGCACGTGGCCGTGGTGAACGTGGAGGACACGTACGGGTGGTACGTCTCCCAGGCGCGCATCTTCTACATGTTCTACGTCGGCCTCGACGCCGACCTCGCCTCGCTCTGGAACGACAAGCACCGCTGCACCATCGCCACCTACGCCAGCGTCGCCACCTGCCTGCTCCTCGCCGCCTTCGTCTCCGGGGGCCTGTACGGCAGCATGATGCACACCCCCGTCCGCTCGCCCGAGCTGCTCGCCGCCGTGCTCATGCTCACGCTCGCCAACACCTCCTCCGTCGACGTCTCCCGGATGGCCGCCGAGCTCGGCCTCACCGCCACCGCCACCGGCCGCCTCGTCGTCGGCGCCGCCATCGCCACCAACGTCATCTGCATCGTCGGGGAGGGCGTCTTCTCCTGCATGAAGCTGGCGTCCGGAAGGACCCCAGGGTACAGCGCGTCCCAGCGGCTCGGGCTCGGCGTGCTGGCGCTCTTCAAGGTCGGCCTCGCGCTCGCGCTGCTCCGGCCAGCCGTGGAGTTCATGAACCGGCGCAACGCGGGGCGGCACCGCATCGGGAACTGGGAGCTGGCGCTCATCCTCATCGCCGTATCCTACATCGGCGACTTCCCGCGCCGCGTCGGCTTCGACGGCATGCCGGCGAGCCTCGTGCTGGGGCTGGCGTTCCCCAGGGAGGGCCCCGTGGCGAGGACCGTCACGCACGCGCTTGCGTACCCGCTGCACGCGCTGGCCCTGCCCTTCTATTTCGGGACCATGGGGATGCGGCTCAACTTCAGCGCCATGTCCGGCGCCGTCGTCGTGCCCGCCGTCCTCCTCACCATCCTCGGTCTCGTCGGCAAGTGCGCAGGCACCATGGGCGCTGCCAGGTTCCTCCACATGCCGCTCGGGGACGCCGCGCGCCTCGGCGTCATCCTTAACATCAAGGGCCACGTCAACATGATCGACATGAGCTTCGCCAGCTCCGAGGGGATTTGGGCGGAGCAGGCGCTCATGGCCATGGTGATGGGCAGCATGATCAGCACCGTCATCGCGGGGCCGGTGTTCGCCGTTGTGTACCGCAGGGAGAGGGAGGCGTATCTGAGCAACGGCCACAGGACGCTGGAGCGGCTGGTCCCGGACCAGGAGGAGGAGCTGCGGATGCTCGCCTGCGTGCACGGAGCACGCGCCACGCCGGCGATGCTCAGCCTCGTCGAGCTGCTGGCGAGCAAGCCCGCCGTGCAGCCCGCTGTGCATGTCCTGCACTTCTACGACGCCGTGAGCAAGCACGCACGCGCGGGCACCGGCGGCGCCAAACGCTACCACGAGCGGGTCCAGATCGACAGCGACAAGCACTGGGACCGCATGAACGACGCCGCCACGCAGGTGAACTGGACCGTCGACCTGTTCGCCTCCATCACCGGCCTCGTCATCCGGCAGATCGACAAAGGCGACCGCGGCCCCGTCACGAACCTGAAGACCATCCGCCGCTGCGCGGAGGAGGTCCACGCCGACGTCCTAATCGTGCCCTACCACAAGGAGCAGCACTACTACGGCAAGATGTCCTGCCGGTCGGAGGATCGCCGCCAGCTCAACCTGAACGTGCTCGAGCGCGCGCCGTGCACCACCGGCATCCTCGTCGACCGCCCGTTCCGGAGAGGCGGCACCAGCTTCCAGCTACCGACGAAGATATCCACGAGCGAGGAGACGCTGGGCAACTGGCGGGAAGACCGGGCCACCGCGCCGACGCACGTGGCGGCTGTCTTCCTCGGCGGGCCGGACGACCGCGAGGCCGTGGCCCTCGCCTGCCGCCTCGCCAAGAATGAGACGGTCCACCTGACCGTCATCCGCTTCGTGGGGCCCGGCAAGCACGGACACGCCGGCGTCCAGACGGCACGCGCCGACGATCACGCCGACGGGGAGGTGTCCGTCGTGGTGGACGATCCCGACGAGTGCTGCATGGCGGCGCTCCAACGCGAGTACGTGGCGAAGGAGCTCGCGTCGTACGTTGAGAAGGTGGTGGGCGGCGCGGCGGACGTGGTGGAGGCCCTGCGCAGGATGGCCGGGGCGTACGCGCTGGTCGTGGTGGGGCGCGGCGGAAGGCAGCCGGCGGAGCTGCTGGGCGGGCTAGAGTGCGGGGAGATGGGCCCAATCGGGGATATCCTCGCGTCGGACGAGTCGCTGGAGATGGGCTCCGTGATCGTCCTGCAGCAGAAGAAGGCCGTGTCGACGGCGTTCGGCCTCGACCCACCACCAGCGGGAACGGCGGGGGTCTGACACCGTGTATGCTGCAAAGACGTGGTAGAAAACTGTAGCTGTGTATAATTAGAGTGTAGACGACTAGAATTAATGTAGCACATCTCAGCTGGCAATTTTTTTCATCTCAGCAAATAAGCAGGAAATAGGAAAATGATACTTCCTCCGTTCACAAATATCTTTACCTACTAATAAAGCAGCTAATGCTTATGATCGTCCGTCGTTAGTACTTTTGCAGAAAAGTCCCTGGTGTTTTAGTTATTCAACCCGCAGTCCCTTTTTAAGTCAGAAAACGTTTCGTTTAGGATGTTTTTATTAAAAGCCCATGTAGTTTCTTGTATTTAACGCGCGATCCTTTTAAAGTGAGAAAACGTTTCGTTCGTTTCTGGGCTTGGGCCTTAATTTTATTCAGCCTAACACAAGGGTTGGAAACCAAAAAGAAATACAGGACACACGGGCATGTATGCATCGAAGGAGAGCTCGGGGTACGGCCGCCGCCGCCGCCACGCGTGGATGGTCTTCCTGTCCGGCCATCGGGGTAGCCCACGCGGGCGAGCTGCAGATTTGGATGGGCTGCCTGGCCCACGCAGCGGACGGCGGTGGTTTGAGCAACTCCTCGACGCAGGGGAAAAGATTGGCGGCGCTGGAGTTCGCCGGAACGGGCAGGCGGCCGGTGGGTGACGCGAGGCCGCGGCGCCGGCGCAAGGAAGACGAGCGGATCCGGCTGCTGGCGCGGCGGCTTGCTCCGGTGGCGGCGGCGTCCTGCTCATCCGTAGAAAGAGAGACAGGGCGTGAGGGAGAGAGGAAGAAAGGAGAGGGAGAAGGGGGCGCAGGGTCAGGGAGGCGGTCGATAGCGGTGGCGGCTCCGGCGACCGGCCGGCGGGCTTGCCAGGCAAGGCTAAGGAGTACGCCAACCTAAGATTCGATAGCGGTATGTTTGATTTTTAGAATTGGCCTGAACATCCTGTTTGCTGTGTTTCATCTTCTGAATTGGAAACCATGGCGTGCCTGAATTTTTTTCTAGAACATGCTGCTTGAGTTGGTAATCAGTTGGTAATCATTCTTGGTGATTTATCCGATATACTGATGAATCATCCTTTGCAGGGCATGACTTGAATGGATTTCTGAATTCCAAATAGTATGCTGTCGTGATGTTTGATTAGTGTCTTCTGTGAATCTGTACCAAAGCAGATTAGACAGCAGACCAAGGCCATGGATCGGTTGATTCAACAAGGAAGGAAGAGACAGCAGATTATAAAACGAGCTTGGGGATTAACTGGCCTGAAACTTAAACAGGGCCGCCATGATGATGGACTCAAGCTCCAGGTTTGCTCGCCTAGCACGTCCTAATTACATTGGCTCTTGTCAAAATGTCTAGCAGATGGATAATGAATTCATTCTGTGATGCCACATAGATATGCAAAGTCATAGTCCTGCATGTATGCACGTACCTCTTCCTAATGGCACGATGTAGTCTTTCTATACAAGTCGATAGACGGGCACACACATTAGTAAGTTTTGCTACTAGCCTAATGAAGAGCATTTTATACATCCTTGCAGATAAAAAATGAATTGAATTATGAGCATCAGACAACTACGATCAATTTCCCGGTTATACCTGAAATAAAAGTGGCCGACCAAATGAAAGGAGGGATGCTCTCCTTGATGTGAGATTGTATAGATTATCTTACTTGATCTGCAATATTTCTTTGGATTTCTTTTTTATGAAAGACACATGACACATAGTTTGCTGGATGGGTCTAAGATAAATATTTTAGTTATAGGAGGACTTTTTGAACGAGTAATAGTATTACCACCATTTACTTGGTCTGTTGTGCTTTCGGTAGAGCTTTCATATTTCAACACAAAAACAACAATTCAAGTTGGGACCAGAATCGCACAAACATCAAGCTCAAAGGAAATATCAGTTGGGAGTGATCAAGTATTCATTTTCTTAGTGATCTAATAGGTCTTATATTTGTTTAGAGAGGGAGTATGTTTCTAGATAGCCGTCAATTCCAATGTTTCGTTTATTTACTCTCTGAATATGAAGAAGATAGGTTTGCAATGTAGCTTTTTACATGATAATGTAACAAACATTTATGTCTTATAACTGCAAACATTTTTTTAGTCCGTCACCGAGCAAATGTTTGGGAGTTGGAAATTATTTGGATACACGTGATCTCAGCAAAGAAAGATTCACACATACTGCAACCAAAGGAGCTCCTTTCACTCTCTATGCAACTAGAGAAATTATCCTTAATTACGAGCAGTACCCTAGATTTAGTTGTGGTTCTAACATATTAGAGATGTGGTTAGAATACCTACTGCTCTGAAATATTAAGTGGTTTGCACAAATC